CTGACTCATTTGAAAAGACCCTGAGGCTGGGAAAGATTGAGGGCAGGAGGAGAGGGGGATGACAGAGGATGAGATGGTTGGATGGCATCACTGACTCAACGGACATGAGTTTGGGTAAACTCCGGGAGTTGGTGATGGACAGGGAGGCCTGGTGTGCTGTGGTCATGGGGTCACAAAGAGTCGGACACGACTGAGTGACAGAACTGAACTGAGCTGAGAATATAGTCCCTGTCCTAAATGTCTCTTTTGGTGGCAAGAATACATATATATACACACATACATTTTCATATAATCTTCACAATTACCCAATGGGGTAAGTACTATAATTAGCCTCACCTTGTTGCTAAGAAAGCCAAGGTATAGAAAGCTTAAAAATCTTGCTCAAGGTCCTACTGCTACAAAGTAATGACACCGGAATGAGAAGAATCTGGGCTCATCACCAGTTCACTATGCTGCCTTCAACTTGTTTCTTTCAAAAGTAAATAATTTACCCTCTAGTGTTAGCTAAGAAATATCTAGAAGCTCCTTGTTCTCATTTTGACTAAACTCAATCTTCCTTCCATTTACCTATATTAAAGATGACAAATCTTATATTTGAAGGGATATGCACATCAAAACCAGGAATATACCACAGCAGTGGTTAGCCATGGTTTGCTTTTGTAAGGAAACCTTTGAGTTCCTGTAACATGAAGAGACCATTTCCCAGTATGGGTGATGGCCGGTCTCCCACACTACTGGTGGTGCTGGGAGGCCTGGCCACAGACCCACTTCTGAAGATGACTCTCTGGCCAACAAGCTGAAGAGCCAATAGATCCAACCACCTCTCTTTACAAGAATGTTTTATCTTTAACACCAGTCTTGAAGTACTTGGGCCTGGCTACATTTAGGTAGCTTAAGAGTGTTCCCTACTTTATCTCCATGGTAAACACAAGAACAGATCCCATCTTCTTTGAGTTGCTTTATGGGAATCACAATCATGGTCACCAGAAAAAAAAAAATACAAGAAACACTTACCTCTCTCTACACGGGTTAGATCTGGCTGGAAACTAGGTGTTCTCTTCCTTTAAAACTTACATGATTATGGTGAGAGATTCTGTTCTGCCCTCCCACTCCCACAAAAGAAAAATTCAGGAGTGGTGTGTTTCTTCCCTTTTTCCCTAAGGCATTCGATCACCCTTTCTTCTTTACATGGACAAGCAGCTATCCAGAAGCAGGCTGCCAACCACATCTTCCTAGTCTTGCCTAGTCTTGCCTAGTCTATAACAGGCTTGGCTGTCCTAGAAGATATAGTTCTAAGAGTCGTAGTTGAAATTCCTAGTCTTTAGGATACCTGTGGGAAAGATAAGCATCCTTTCAATCTTCCTGACACTTCAGTGGGTAACAGATATATGTTAGGGCAATGCTTGTCAGTGAAGCAGGTTCCCTGGGAAAGTATTAGAATCTTCAGGCGTGAAATAAAGATTGAAAAGGCACATTTAAGGGGAATAAGCTATAGTTTGAAAGGCACATTTAAACTTATTACTGTCTTTTTTGCAGGGGTGATTCATGAAATATGAAATTTATAATAATACTATACAAATACATGGGACTCATATTTACCAAAAGGGGATCCAGTTTTCAAAGTGAATAAGTGGACCCAGCTTTAGTCAATAAGAAACAAAGAACAATGGTTTCATGTTCAAAGGTACCCAGGATATAAGGAAGGAGTCTTAAAGAAAAAAATTACATCTTTGATTTTATCAGATCAAAAGAGCAAGAAAAAAAATTCAAATAAAACGTTGTAGGCAAAGGTAGGACAAACTAACTAACCCAGTCTGAAATTGTATTTGGTGCAACTGTTATGTTGATAAGGGATATCATCTCAATGGTCTTTGGCACAGGGTAGTGAGTTACTTATCTTCTTCCTGTAAAACACTCTTCCTATAGGTTTCCTGACATCCAAGATGCCAATGGACCCACAAGTCTTTTTCAGGCCAAAAGACATTGGTTGACATTTCACTTACGTGAGCTTTTGAAGTCTTTCTTCTTCAGTCTCCTCCTCATCATGGTTCCACGTGGGCTAGAGGAGAAAGCCTGGAACATTACGAGGGCTGTTTGGAGGAGGCGCTTTCGTGAGTGTCGGGGCCGGTGCTGTGCAACGGTCAGCGTGGTATGAATTATAGTGATGGCAGGTGTGAAGGCTGCAGTGGCTGCTGGCCCAGGAGTCCCAGGGAAGTTGCCTGTCGCTCCTCTGAATTTTCACTGCCCACATGAAGTGATGATGAGAAATAAGAAAAAACAAACAAACAAAGAACCAAAAAAGAGGAGAAAGTAACTGAACTGCACAAATAAAAAGTAACAACAAAAAAATGAAGGCTGCTTGCACACAAAAAAAGGGAAAAAACCTGGCTTTGGCCATTTCTCAGTGGTCAGCAAAACCTATGATTAACACCGGGGATGGTAACTTTTCATCTTCCCAACAATAATGCATGTCTTTCCCCAGCCCATTTTTTTCCTCCTTTTAACATGACTACTGAATCAATTTCTAATCTCCCCCTGTGCTTCACAGCAGAGATTAAAACATTTTTTTTTTTTTTAAACTTAAAAGTCAACCCTGCAAGATCTATGGCACAAGATTAGTAATTAGAGATTTGCAAATCTTGGCCAGTTAGTAGCTCTTGTTTTGAGAAAAAGAAAAGAATGAATGATAAATCATACTGGCTCTTGATTCAAAGGATGTACTAGTCACACATCACAATTTACTGCTCTGACATTTTAATTACACTACTATTCATCACTTGAACTACAATAAACTACTCTATCAGGATCTTATCCATACCCTAACAAGAAGATGCAAGACTCAATAGACTTTAAAATTTTGGGGGTATTTTTAAAAGCTGTATTTACATTTGAAAGAAGGCATTTAATTATTAAAAATATTTCAAATATTCTTGTATTTCTTTAAGATGTCTGAAATTTTAATAAAGCTAATCCCAAAATTCTGGTGTCCTCTTTATGTTTTAAAAAATGTATATAAAAAATGTATATCATACTTCCATTCTAATTTCAATATTGTTTAGATTTGATTTTTTACTCAGTGGTCTGAAAGTATGAGCACTTTTGTTTGTTACTATACTGATCTGAAAATTTTCACTTAACTATCTTAAAGAATGAAAAATAAAATATGAACTTCTCTCTCTGTCGTCATGATTCTAAGGTCAGGTGCCTTACATATGAATGGTTTTGCAGTATTTGTTCATGGAGTGAGGTCAGATACTCTGTAAGTATTTAAAGGAGAGCTCTTTGGGTAAGAGTTTAAATTTTACCATCAGTGACATCAGCCTCGCTGACCACATCTCAGCCTTTCTGGAACGAGACAGATCACGGAACAAAAGCACTGGCATGAACGGATCACCACCGGCTGAGGCCACGGGCTGAGGCTGTATTTCTGCTCCGGCTCCAACCCATCTTCTCTATCTGACCTTGACCAGTTACTCAACCTCTCTAAGCCATGGTTTCCTCATTATGTCAAGTAGAGATCACAAAAGCATCTATCCCAGAGGCCAACTGTTGAGAATATGTACCTAAGGTGCTTAGCACGGTGCTGGCACACAGAATAAAAACTAATGATTCTTTATTTAATAACATTGATACCATCTACTTTCTATCTACTTGCCAATGAATACGTCTTTTCTTTCTTTTAAGGAAATAGGTGTATCTCTCACTCTACAAATTTCATTCACTGGACACAAGTTAAGAGACTGAGAAATCTGCAGCACACTTTCATGACCACCATCATTATGTAGTCCTGAACATATGGCCCTCTGCTTCTAACCACTTCAGTTTCTAGTTTTGTGGTTTATCTCCCTCTCCACTAGTCTACTTTCAAGCTACCAAGCTACCACCTCCTTCACCTCGACCACTGCCAAATCTTCAGACTTGGCTCCCTGGTTCATCTCTTACATACCTATCTTCCAGGACCCATGGTACAGAATAATATTTTAAATACATAAATTAGATGATGCAACTCCCATTTAAGGTATTTCAATGGGTTACAATTACAAAGAGAATCAAATGTGAGCCCTATTTATCTCTCTAGCTTTACCCCTTCTCACTCTTTCTACTTCTAATATTCTTCTCCTACTTGTTTACATGGCTGGCTCAGGTGCCAAGTCATCCTGACCTCCCTGGATAAAGTAGTTGTCTCTCCTATGTTATCCCATTGCTTTTTTATTAATATATTCTTCATAGTTGAAAGGGCTTTATTTATTTAAAATACTTTTAATGCTTGTCTCTCTATACTGGAATGTAAATCCCATGAGAATAGGAATCTACTTTGCTTGCCTTGCTCACTAGATGCACTGTGGCAACTAGAACAGAGCCTGGCATATAATGACTGATGAATGAATGAAAGAGTGAATGAACACATGCATGAATGAATAAGAATATCAGCCAGAGGGTCCATGTACACACTGTTGCAGCATTTTCCTTGTGATAAAGAGCATTTCGAGGCAAGTCTCTTTCGCCATCCTCATTTTACTTTTGGGTGTACCAGAAGACTTTTTAGCAAGATGCAGTCAGTGTTGGATCTGGCTAAGCAACACCCACAGTCACTCTATTGAGCTCTGTAAAGTATCACGTGTTTCAAATGATGTACAGTGAGTAATGGTTAGATAGCACCACCGACTCAATGGACATGAATTTGAGAAAACTCTGAGAGATAGTGGAGAATAGAGGAGTCTTGTATGCTACAGTCCATGGGGTTGCAAACAGCTTGAAATGAGTTAGTGACTGAACAACACAGTGTGTGAACTTCAGAATTCTCCACTCATTTTTTGACCCAGTTCTTTATGGAGTGCTGTGAAAATTACTGGGCAGTTTTGAGGGCTGTCAAGCTCAATTAATAACTCAGTAAGGAAGATTCTGACCACCTATTATATGTTTGGCACTGTGACATTTGTGGCAGGTTAAATGTAGGTCATTTAATT